TTGTCAACTAATTTAGTAATCGTTAGTTAACTGGAGTTTAGAGATGGTAAAATATATGTTTAGGTGACAGATCAATAACCTTTGATCAGCAATTATACCATTTATACCACGAACATTATGCAGTTAAGATAAAAAAGATTTTTCATCTGTCAAAATGCTCTGTCCAGAAGTGAAATCGCTTTAGTTTCACTTTGTTTAATCTCATAAAAAGTCTTCTTTAAGGAACAGACAGTTTAATTGATTTGCAAAATAATCGTTCATTTCAGGCCTAGTTGTTAAAGTGTTATTGTGAATTTTATTTAACCCTTTATAGGACACTCAGTGAAATACTTTGAAATTCGAAATGTCAAGCCAATAGTGTTATTGGAATCCAGGACAGGACCTTATCTTTATAACATTAAAAAAATATGGATATTTTGATGGCAAAAATGTATGTCAATGTAATAACAAGAAACGCCTACTTGCCTGAATATATTAAGAAAAATAAGAAATTAATAAGAAATTCATGAAAAACAATCTGAGAGAAAGAAACAAATTTTTTTTGGGTCGAACATAACCTTAGAGGCATTAATGCTGATACTGAAACTTACATTTTTTAAGTTTATAAACCTAAATATAATTGTTAACGAGGCTTATTAACGTTTAACTTTTCAATTAGCTTTTTACCTTTTTTTCCCCCAACTTAATTTCGAGTAGATAATATATCATTCAGGGGCTCGCTCATTTAATTGGTGAAATGCCAAAATAAGATGTACAGCCATGTAGCAGCATCTTTGATGAATGGCTGGATATAGTTCTAGTTTTTCTAGACTTCACTGAGGGACAAGAGGCGACTCCATTTTTTAAGGGGTATCCAAGGGATCAAAAATGATAACTTGCACTATAAAGGGTTAATAGCTCATATATTCACCTGAGAACTGATGTCTGTGTGTTACAGAGCCTGGTTGTGTGCACTGAAGTGTGCATGACAATAAAGTAGTAAAACTCAATCTATTTATCTATTTCTATTCCCACAGTGACCCACCTGCGCCACATCAGTGGGGTCTAAAGTGGGCTTTTCTTTGGGCTCCACTGCTCTGCCATTTTCTGCCATTTCATTCATTTCCTCCTAAACAGGGATAAAAACCAACAGCCTGTGTTAAATGTTATTAAAAAAAACCAAAAAGTAGCATTTAGCAGGGCTATGTCTGCTATATCAGCCTTACCTTTGTCCGGAAAAGGAACCACAATGAACAGCGCTGCCTGACTGTCGTCATGACAACGCTGACAAGAAGTCACGTGGCTCTCAGAAAACAGGCCTGATTAACTGATCGGACCAAACGGTACAATATCTGCACCTTGATGTAATAAAGAGGTGTCAAATATATGAATGTTTATTACTTAAGTGGAATTATTAATCCTGTTTAAAACACTTTTGTTGAAGTTAGAGTTTTACTCAGGTAAAACTTAAAGAATAAAAGTAAAAGAAATGCAGGGAAAACTTGTTAAGGACGTTAAACTTAATACTGATCATTATACTACACTATTAAAGGAACATATTTCTTTATAATTTATTTTCTTAGTTTTGTAATTAATAATAAGAGTGTCAAATTTATTTTTGCATCATCTTAAAACACTATTTATTTTGGTATGTGGTGAACAACAAGTTGGGGCAGCACCGAGTCCAACCACAAAGAAATTAATTGTCTAGATGAAAGATACATTTTTTTTTAAAATACCACCAGGCCATTACAAAAATGTGGTTAAATGAAACCAAACTAACGAGTCTATTTTTGAAATGTAAGGAGTAGAAAGTAGTGATAATTGAAAAAAACAAAAACTTGAGTAGAATAAAAAGCTGCATAAAAAGAATTATTACTCCTGAAAAGTATATAGAGCCAAAATTTTTACTTAAGGTAATGTAGTATTTGTAGTTTTGTTACTTGACACTTTGGGTAATAAGATACAATAAACCTCATAAGAGTTAGCTCCTTTATCATGTTCTGGTTTAAATAAATAAAGTCAAAAAG